CTTAAAACAGCATATCTGATTCAAAAGTTATTCTGGTATTTTTTGCACAAAAACAAGAGGTATGTATATTAAAGTGAAAGGGTGTCAACTCTTTTTTTTTTTTTTTTTTTGTACTCCACATTTTCCTGAAGAATGGTGTCCCTGACCAAAGGGCAAAAACAAGAATACAGAAAGAAGGACATTATGTTGAACAAAAATAATAAGTTTTGCTTCCATGAATGCACTGAGCTTTGACTATTTCCAGCATTTGTATGGAATTCATTATGTTATCAAAGCTTCAAAAGAAATGTCTTAGTAAAAAAAAAAAAGGCATAAAACTTAGTGAAACAACCCATGTTTGTACTCTTCTAATACTTTCCCATAGTAATTCTTTTGTTCTTCAAATAGGGCCCCTGACACGTTTCCTCCCTTCTTGTGCTACTTTCTTCTTTCTCCCATTGGCAAGTACCTTGAGAATTGGGATTGTATCTTATTTCTGTCTCTTTGCCACATGGCATCTATGTAGCCTTTGCTAAGATGAACGCTGCACAACTATTTTCAATGTTAGATGAAGATGGGGTGAACGGGTGGTGGTGTAAGTTTTGTAAACAAGACTGAAAATAGATTTAATGGAACTCTCAAACAAAAGTACTTGTTTTAATATTTCCATGATTTTTCATGGACCTTGTTACTTTGAGATTTAAAATTGTATATGTGAAGTCAATATGAACCATGAGTTGCTATTTCCAAAAGAAAGCATTTGAAATTGAAAAGAAATGTGAATGTGCCCGTCTTTCTCACTAAGACAACTTGGTTGACAAATGAATAAATCAGTTGCTTTTGACATGATTTTTGGTATGACAATTTAAAATTAATCTAATTCAACTGTCACAGTCAAGATAATCAGATGTTAAGGGCACCTGGGTGGCTCAGTCAGTTAAGTATCTGCCTTCAGCTCAGATCATGATCCCAGAGTTCTGGGATGGAGTCCATTAAACAATACAATGTGGAGGTATGGAAAATGATTTTTTTTAACTCAGAACTTTATGGAAGTCGCAACATAGTTTACAAACAGAACCTCTGGTGTATATTTGATACGTATTTCATTATGTAATATACATTATTCCAGGCATAAGATATGTACAACAAACCACAGGGTAATTAAGACATTTCAAATCTCAAGTTCTGACTTTTTATCATTATAGCAACTTGAAAATTCTTAATAAGTAAAGCTAAAGCATTCTCTCAGATTTTTTCCTGTTTTATTTTCATTTATCTTATAGCAGTGGTATCACTTGTGAACCAACAACTCCAAATGAAAATTAGGACTCCTACAAAAATTTGCCTAATGCAAAAATACCTCAGTATTTTTGTACTGAGTAGAGATAACTCTATTTTATTGGATACAAAAATAAAGTTACATGTTATCATTTACCTGGGCTTCAGAGGGCATCTTAAGATTCAATGCTCCTGTATTTTTCTTTCCTTATTCTGAGAAACCAACCCTCTACATGTAAAACATCACAGGCACTATGAAAATATATCTGATTCTGTTTGATGCAGGAAGTTCCATCCCTTCACTTGGATTATGGTAGGGAGACCATCTATATACTAAGCATTGCTAAAGCATTGTGAATCAAGAAACAGATCAATCTATTTTGAACTTTGACGTTCTTCTCTATGCTAGTAACATCATGAATGCCATTCAAAGACTTTCTGCAGAGCATATGAGGATTTGTTTTATGTCCAAAGAAAGTGAGAAAAATAGGTTGGAAGAATTGAGGGCATAAATATCAATAATTGTAATATCAAGATTATAATTGATTATCAATAATCAATATTATTATCAATGTCTCTGCATCTCCTCACCAATGTTTATTGTTTTTTCTCCTAAATGTTTCTTGAATCTATTTTCTTCATTTCTTAGGTTTTATTAACTTAGTATCATCTTTGGACTGCACTTCTGCCATAGCCTAAGTCCTGGTACTCTTAACTTTAGATCACCTTCATATCCATCCCAAATGACACTGCGAGACTCTTGCCCCTGAAGGAAGAGTCTGGGCATAACATTCCTTCAAACTGCCCTGCACACTGAATAAAAGTAAGCCCAGTTTCTGTGAGATAATACATAGACTCCAGATAAGTTTTGCAGACCAGTGCCCTGTAACACTAAGTTTTCAGAGCTCACTCTCTGTATTTGCATGTGTTGGTCCCACTCAAATTGTGTGACAGGTGCATAAGGGGAGTGAGGTGAATTTCATGCTTAGAGAAAAAAAATTATAATGCCTACTCAATAATTTGAAGAGTCTGGGTTTTGATCTTTACTTTCCACTTAGTAACTGTGTGGTCCTTTGCAGGTTATTTAATCTCCTTGAATTTCTGTTGAGACACTGAGCGGGGAGGAAAGGATGGGAGAAGAGAATATTGGAGAGGAAAGAGAACGTGGGAGGTAAGGGAAGGGGAGGGGAGGAGATTAAATGAGGCAGGGAGATTAAGGTGGTCAAGCAAGTTTAGGGAATGCAGTCTCTCAAAAAGGGGAAGCTATTTCATAAAAGAGGGTGCTGTGGCAAAATACCAGCAGGAACATTTTGAGCTGAAGATTTCAATGCTTATTTCAAATATTAATTTCGCCTTTATATCACCATGTGTGTAGTTGTATGGAGTGTCGGTGTTTCTAGTAAAACATGGAAGGAAAACAACAGTATATATTAAGAAAATGGCGGCTCTCTGTTGGGGATAAAACACTGCATGAGTATTTTTTTAAAACTTCTGAAAGTGAAATGTTGGCTAAATACCTTAAGTTTTCTATGCTTGCAACAGACATCTGGATTTTGGAAACATCTAGTTTGTTAATGCCATCTGAAGAAAAATACAAATGGATGAAATGTTGTCTGTTACCTGGAGGTTATAAAAGTTTCCTAAAATAAGAGGACAAAGACGTCCACCTCCATTCGTAGCCTTTCCTCAATTATTCTACCGTTCCCTAACTCTGGAATGCCTACAGCCTGATACAGCTGTATTTGTAAAATCACCTCTGGGTTTGCAGACAACCTCCTTTCCAAGACCTTGCAATCAATGATCCTATCTTTCTATTTAATGTTAAGCGTGGCTTGTAGGTGCCACTGATGGAACTGTTCAAAAAGTCAGATGTGACTTTGGTAAGAGATTAAGTATTATCTTTAATTAATGGATCTATGAAAAGAAAAGAAAATCCAAAGCTACAAGCTCTTCATATCCTAGACACAGGCAACTTGACATTTGCATTGAAATCCCTTCATTTTGTCTTTTATAGAATAATGCCTTCCCTTTATCTTTTAAATTAAACATTGTATAATGTTCATTGAAGAACAAAATCATATCACTGTGAAAGTCATGTTCAAAGATGTGCTGTAGAATTTTAAGTGCAGGTCAAGAAATTTATTGAAGTGGACCAAACTGATACACAAAACCTCTCTGTTTGGGGTTTTTGCACAATGCTATCAGCACCTTATAATACATTATTTCATTTTCTTCATATTAAATAAGTTGTAATTACCACTGCAAATTCCTCTTTAAAGCATGCTTTTAAAAAGTGTGTATTTAATTTTTTGCAAAACTATAAACTGATTTTGGGGTTTTGGCTAGTGAAAACCCAAAACATTTTAGCTGATATACTTCTGTTAAATATGTCTTTCTCATATTTCATAAAAGATTAATGCATGCACTAACATGAAAACATATATTTATATACAGATGCCATTACTAAATATGTTTAAATTCTATACCTATCTATATGTATATATACCTTTTATATATTTAGTTATTATATATGGGAGATAAAGCATTTTCTTTCTTTAAAAACAATGATCTTACCATAGTTTAATATACAGTAAAATATTTTAACTGATACTCTTACTTCCAAGAAGATAAAAATTTAAAATTGACAATATGCATCCTAAGTTTGCATTTATGTTTTTTCACTATAAAGCATAATTTGGTAGCCTGCTCTTGTTTGGGCAGTTGGGAATTAGCCTTTCTAATTACTAACTTAATTTGCAGCTTAACTTGTTGCTCATGTCCAGAGCTTATCTTTTTCAGCAAAACTGAAAAAAAAAATAAATGAGAAAATAACTAGATAAAATTATTCTTAACGATTGGAAAGAAGTGTGGAAGAACACGACCAGGCTAAAATTCACTTAAAAGTTAAATCCTCTTCTGCCTTACATGCAGTGATAGTGTAGAGGGGACAGTTATGTGAGATAGGACATCATATATCCAATTCATAAGGTCTTTTTAAAGATTTAATTAACATTTATTTTAGAGGACAGAGGGAGAGCGGGGAGAGGGGAAGGGTACAGAGAGAGGGAGGGAGAGAGTATCAAGCCGACTCCACACTGAGAACAGAGCCTGACATGGGTCTCCATCTCAGGATCCTGAGATCATGACCTGAGCCAAAACCAAGAGTCAGATGCTTAACCAGCTGAGCCACCCGGGCGCCCCTCCAATTTGTACTTTTTATTTCTAGCTAATAATATTCTATGTATGTAAATATGTGACTGTGGTCTGTCATTGATGTAACTGGCTAATAATGAAAGAATTAACTCAGAAAATGCAAATCCCCAGAGCCTTTATTTTTATTTTAAATAATAACTAATTTTCAAGCTTGTACTACATGTCAAATATGATGTTTAGTTTAATAATATTTATCTATGTTTTTATAATTAAGCAATAGATGGTCACTAACAAAAATTTGTAAAATACAAAAATATAGACAAATAATTTTTTTTCCTAGGCAAAGAACTTTATTAACCTTGTTTCAAACTTTATTCCCAGGCTTCTTCAGCTTAAATAGCTGCAAAGAATGCATTGTGTATAAGCAAAAACTGAAAAGAGCTGCAGTGTCCAAGGGGCTTGGGCTTAAAAATATTAGAGATCTAGATTTTATCAGATCCATGAACAAAATTTTAAAAAGCAGTCATAATATAAAATAGCAGCTCCCAGTGACTTCTTCAAGTTTTCTGTTCTTCAGAAGTTGACTCAATTCAGTTTGCTTCATTCTTGGAAGCTTCATCAAAATTCTCCACAAGATCTGGAACTTCATCATCATCATCCTCTCCGGTAGCAAGTGGTGCTTTTCCATCCACAGATTGGGCAGAGCTTCAGCCAGTCTTCTTAAACTAGTCAGATAGTCTGCACCAAGTTGGTTTAAGATACTGGGTAGCATTTCTGTCAGCTGCTTTGTCTCAGAATGGTCTGTAATGGTGAAAGTGTTCGCTGCCAGTGATGCCTGAACTTTGGGGTTGTTAACATGGATCACTGTTCCTTGGTTTGTGAACATATTCACTTCTTCAATACCAGAGATATTGTTTACCCCTAACTTCTTTAAGGAGAACTGAAGTTTTTTATCATCTGCTGTAGCCGTTCTATGAACCACCTTCTTTCGGCGAGCAGTTCCTTTCCCACCAATGCGCACTTGTGCTTGCAGTTTGGCGAGTGTCTCCTGGTTCGTGATAGTTTCTTTCATCTTGTTGGAGCGGAAATGGGACCGCGCGGGGGAATAGGGTTGGCGCCCAGGTGGTCTCGGGCGGACCAGCTGAGATTAGGTGCACACACGCGGGGACGCAAGATGGCAGCTCTAGACAAATAATTTTAATTATAATTTTTATAGGCACAGTAGATCCATTATTCATAACTCTTACCAATAATCAATACTCCTGCAAAATGGGTATGTTATATTATTCCTGTGTAACATGAGATGACTAAAGCTCCAGGGTTGATGTAATTTTTCCACATAGCGGAACCAGGATATCATGTAAGTTCAGATGGACTTTACATTTTTTTTTCTTGTGCAAGTTGTTTTTAAACTTGGAGATTGGGAGTCCCTGGATGGCTCATTTGGTTCAGTATCAGACTCTTAGTTTCAGCTCAGGCCATGATCTCATGGGTCATGGGATCAAGCCCCATGTCTGGCTCCATGCTCAGCAGGGAGTCTGCTTGAAGATTCTCTCCCTCTGCCCTTCCACTCTCTCTCTCTCTCTCTCTCAAAATAAATAATAAATCCTTAAAAAAATAAACTTGGAGATTGGAAAGATCATTCTTATTTTGTTATCACTATAATTATTTTTTTTTTAAGAAGTACTTACACATAAGAGGAAGCTTTGTGTGGTAGGCAAGAGCATACTCTGTGAAGGTCCGAATTTGAATCCTGTATCTTTGGTGTTCTTGCTGTGTGACTTTGGACAAGTTAGCTATCTTGTCTTTGTCTCCGTTTACTCATCTTTAAATAGTAGTACCTACTTCATAGAATTCTTTAAGTAGTAAGGTGTTAAGATTTCTAGAGCAACAGGAACACCGGCTATAATATATTACATACTTAATAAGGGCCAGCTATAAGTATAGTGACTGTAATCATCATCATCAACAAGGAATGCAAATAACAACATTAAAACAAAACAAAAAACAAAAGCAAAAAAAAAAAGGAAAAAGACTCCCCAAATTAATAGCATCTATTGTTATGGAAAATAAATGTAAAACAAAAAACAATATGAACAAAAACAAAGATTATTTGTTCCCATGAAAAGACAGTTGAAAAACTTATACTGATACATTTTTATTTCCTAAATAGTTACTGATTTTCTTAAATGTTTTCTCAAATATTATGGGGAGTGACTCAGTAAGATTCTGAAATAGGAGATTCCAGCTCTCATTCCTCCATAGAAACACCAATTTAACAACCATCCATGGGCAAAAATACCTTGATTTCTTTTTGTTTACTTGCTAGTATCTAACTCATTAATTTTTAATAAAATTAGTAGACTATGATCATGTGTCTATATCATTATATTTTAGGTTTCATTTAGGCATCATTTTCACTCTGGAGAAGATTTTGAGTGTCCAGAGATCATATGCAGAACTCTAAAAAGTATCATTCCCTATGCTTTTTATTCAAGACATTTTATTTAACATTACCTATGAGCCAGGTACTCTACTATGTGTAGTATCAAATAGGGCTGAGGATTAGAATATCCATTATAAAATAAGATAACAAAATGCTCTATGGACAGTGACTTATACCACTGAGGTTATTTATAATGGTTGATAGCTTTGTGTTGGTAGCTCAACAGTTTCTTCAAATTACTTGGTTAATAGCTTTGTGTTGGTAGCTCAACAGTTTCTTCAAAGACCCAAAAAGATCTTCTCCTTCCTTATGATTTTAGCATAGTTGCTTTTGTCCTCCTGAGTGTTACTTCAGACTTATGGCATGGATGTCACATCCCAAGCATCATTCTTGCTATCTGGTCAAGAATAAGTGGAAAATGACAGCAACAAGCTTTTTTCTTCATCTGCCCCATTTATTAGACAGGAGAAGAAAAAAGTTATTGTATTCCCAAGGCAAAATTCTCATTAGCCAAAATGGTGTCACATGGTCAAACCTAGTTATAAGGAATGACATAAAGTACCTATTGAAAATGAATAGGATTTTCATGTTTGATTAGATTTGAGGATGGAGATATGTAATTTTTTTAAAAAAATTGATTTTCTCTTCATAAGATAAAGGTTGGGTAGCAGTTGGTTAAAATATAACAAGATCTACTACATTTAGCTAATTTTGTTCTAAACAAAATTGTGTAACTTATAAAAAAAAACCACTGTACTAAAGTTGAAAATATAATGTTGAACAAATAGAAGTAACCCCTGCCATACTGGCAAATTAGGAAATTACAATCCACTGCAAACACAGGCTAGTCCACATTGCATGGAAGAACATAATAAGAATATAAAGAGGAATTTCCCTTACAATGCACTGTTTAAAAATCACTTCCCATAGCAAGTGATGTCTAACCATAAACTAAAAATAAACAGAAGTCACTTAGGTATGAATTTGAGTATGCAAAGTAATTTACACTATTTTTAAGGCAATAAGGACCATCACAAGAGTTTAAGCAGAGGAACTAAATGTTTGGCTTTGGATTTGGGGTAATATCCCACAGCTTCCAAAAAGAATAATTGTTTGTAGGTTAACAGGGTTTAACAGAAAAAGAATAATTAATTAGCTCTTATAGTAATGCTGATGAGATATGATAGTGCTTGAACTATGTAGCAAAAGTGGAAATAAAATCGACTGAATCAAGGAATTTGAGGATGTATAACTGGTAGAATAGATTATGTGTTATGTGTGGGGTAAATAACAAGGAAAAATAAGTAGTGAGGTTTGAATGAGGTTCAAGTTTGAGAACATGGTAACATTTGTTGAAATACGTGATAAGGAAAATGAGCAGATTGCTGGGGCCAAAGAATATGATCTTGATGTTCAAGACACTGATATCACTGCTGGACATCCAGGGAAAAATGTACAAGAAAAAGTTGACTCTATAGACTAGAATCTGAAATGGATGGTCTTAGTTGGAGATTTAGATTTGGGAATAATCTGTGTATAGAATATAACTGACGTCAGGAGAGTAGATGAGTGTGTTCAGGGAGAACGTATCAAGTAAGAAGAGAAGAAGGGTTAAATTAGAACCTAAAGGACTGAACATGTAAGAAGAGTACCAGAAAACTAATTCATCATCCTTGTTGGCTATAACGTTACTGAAATATGGCAGAAGGCATGCTCCTGGATAATCATACTATCTCTTGTCAAAGTGAAATTCAATGAGCAAGATAAATTGACATATTGTGAGATCAAATGACAGTGATTAAGTACTGACCATTTACTGAAAATCTAGATCTAATTACTTACTGTATACAAGGGGTAGAGTGACCTTTTGAATGAGACTACCTGTGGTAGAATAGCTTACATATGAAAGCTTTCTTTTCTTTAAACTTGACAGAGATGAAGAAAAGATTTCAATACTGGAAAAAGTAGAGCACACTTGCTATTAGACATAAACTAGCTGCTCATCAGAGGAGCTGAGACTCTATATGTTTAAAAGATGCTATATTAATGAGATGCTCTTATTCTGATCCATAAATATTGGTCACTTAAATTTGTCAATTATTTGCCTGGTCTTCTCTTAGGAGGAAGAAATTATGTCTTATTTTCACCATGCCCCCTTTGCTCTTCTAAACAAATATGTACTATTCCAGACCTTATGCTATGTCCTGGGAATGAACAGATAGATAATAAAATTTCCTAATATTTGTGATTACTGTCCAGCCAAAGAGACATAAAGGTGTATAGCTAAATTAAAGTACAACATGGAAGATTCTATAATACAGATGTGTAAGTGTGTTTTATTGCAAGCATAAACTCCTTGAGAGTAGAAATCAGTCATCATTGCATCCTCAGCAATAAGCACAGTGTCCAGGTAGGCACTTAATATTTTGTGATACTTTTATATCCCATCTAGCTCATGTAAATATTTAATTCAATTTAGAAGGAAACATGTAACCAGACAGTATAAAACAAAAGTGGGCTCATAGAGAAATGGAAAAAAAGGGTATAAAATAAATACAGAAATGAGGCCAGCTTTAAGCACTTTAATGACCTTTGACTCCACATTTCATTATCTGTATAAACAAAGGCATTACTGTGTAGGGAATTGTGTTATCACTTGGGAGGTAATATTTGAGAAAGAATTTGAGGGAAGAATAGATGTTTTCTCAGAGAAGTGTGACAAGGGCACTTCAGACAGAAATAATTTCACTTTGAACAGATGTAGGTAAATATAGAGTAGAGTAGACTGAAAAGGATGAGAATAAAGATATATTAGGGCCAAATTAGAAAGGCCTCATGTACATGGGAAAAGAATTTGTCATTGTTATTGGCTAAGTTCTATCTCCCCCAAATTCATATGTTGGAGTCCTAACTCCCCATATGTTAGAATGTAACTGTATTTGAAGATAGAGCCTTTAAAAGGGTAATTAAAGTAAATTAAGGTCATATGGGTGGGCTTTAATCCGGTATGACTGATGTCCTTATAGAGGAAATTAGAACATTGACAACATGTAGACTGAAGGATGACCATGTGAGAACACACCTAGAAGACAGCCATCTGCAGGCCCAGGAGAGAGCCTCAGAAAAACCAAACCCGCTGACACCTTGATCTTGGACTTCTAGCCTCCAGAACTGTGAGAAAATAAATAGCTATTGTTTCGACTACGCAGTGTGTGGTATTTTATTATGGCAGCCTTAGTGAACTCATACAATTCCCAAGTAATGGGGCTACTGACAGATATAGTTTTATAAAGATTACAGAGACAATATGGAATATGGGCCAGAGGAAAGAGAGACTGGGAAGGGGGTCTGGGTGTAGGGTAAAAATTAAGTCCTGACCTAAATTCAGGCTAATGAGAACTGCAAGAAGTTGCATTACAGAGATATTTCTGAGGTATAATTCATTGCCTAAAAATGTGGTGAAGGTGGATTTTAACAACAAGGAAGCATGTCTCCATAGATTCTAAATTGCAATACTGAGTAGAAGGTATTAACTAAGACAAGAAATTGAGGTTAAATGTATTTTTTTTAATTTGAAGTAGGTTTAGTTTTGAACGTGTTATGTTTGCATCATAGTGAATGTGGCAATGAAATCAGTTTTAGATATATTGGACTTATAGAGTCTCTAAAACATTTTTTGAATTTCTTCAACTACACATAAAATAAGGGTCTTAAGCTTGCAAAAACTGTCC